CGGCGCAGGTGATGGACGCATTGCCGAGCAGCTCAAAGCCCTGCCGGCAGCTGTAGGACACGGTCACGCCCCGGGAGAAGCTGCCCGAGGAGTGCTCGGTGTGCAGCCCGTTGGCGATGCTCGGTGGCCGAGGACATGTCACCTCTGCAGAGGGAGGGAAAGAAAGCGTCCTGTGGCTGTGCTCTGTGCTGGTTTGCGTGCTGCTGGCACAGCTCGGGGAACAGCAGGGTGATCTCTGAATTCTGCTCTGCCTTCCGTTTGCTGGGTCAAGGCTTTAGTTCTCTCAAGGTGCAGCTGCACCTGAAAGAAATTACTGCCAGTAATGAGAGTCCCGACAGGACTGCGGGCACATCACGGGATTTGGGAAGGATCCACACTGACGTGGAAGCAGCGAGCAGTTGTGATTACTTTCCATTCCACAACGGAGGTGAAATTGCCCCACACCTGCCCCGGAGCAGTGTCAGAAATCCCCCGGGATCCAGCTCCTGCCATCCCACGGGGTTCTCTTCTCCCCATCCCTCTCGGAGCCCCAGGCAGGGCACAGCCTCCCCATGTCCCACCCAGCGTGTCCCACGTTTCTCTGCCAGCCAAGCTTGGGAAGCGCAGCCAGGACAGATCCATCCCGGCTCTGCCTTTGCAGTGAATGTGAGAGGAAGCAGGAGGGAGGTTCCCCGCGGCCGGCGCTGCTCCCGGCGCTGGGACACTCACCCTTCTTGCACTGCGGCAGAGGGGGGTCCCACCTGGAGGCAGCCCCGCAGGTGCTGCTGCGGGGGCCCCGCAGGGTGTAGCCCGGGCTGCAGGTGACGCTCACGGTGTCCCTCGTCCGGTAGTAATAGCGGCGAGGGGACACGGTCCCGTACCACACCCGTGGGAACGGGCACAGGGCAGCTGGGCAGGGAGAAGGGAAATGCTGCCCTGCACTGCTGCAGCGTGTCTGTGCAGCCCGGTGCCCACGAGCAGGGGGGGCTGCAGCTGGGGTGGGGGTCCCTGGGGAGCAGGACCCTCCCTGTGCTCCTCAGGGACCCCGCTGCCCCCTCAGCTGCCAAAATCTGCGTGTCCAGGGTTTCACGTCAACCAGCCAGCCTTTCCTGGCCTTTCTGCAGGCTCTGAAGCCCCTCCTAAGGGCCCGACCCCACCCGGGAAAACACGGACAGGGCAGCCCAGGACTGACCCAAAGGCACCCCAGGGATCTGTGCTGTGCCAGGGGGCTGGGGAAGGTGCCCAGCCTGGGCTGGGGGTGCCAGCTGTGGCTCTGATGATGTGCCAGCTGTGGCTCTGATGACCCCAGAGGGTCTCTGCCATCCGCAGAGGAGCTTGGGGGCTCTGTGATGCCGAGGGCTCCGTGATCCCTCTGCTCTGGGACCAGGGCAGGGCTCCCGTTTGCCTCCGCAGGGAAGAGCCCGGGGATCAGCGAGGAGAGCCCAGCGATGAGGAGCAGGAGGCTGTGGGAGGAAGGCCCCAGGGGAGCAGAGCTGCTGCTCTGCCTTACCTTGAGCCCCGGGCGCGGTGCTGAGGAGCAGAGCGGAGCTGCCCAGCAGGCAGAGGCTGAGGATGGGCACCATCCCTGGCAGTGGCAGCTCCCGGGTGCACGGGGCAGATATGGGCACCCCAGTTCCCCCCACTGCCCCCGTGGGAGGAAGAGACGCTGCTGGGGGACTTCCCAGGCCTGTGGGACAGGAACCAGAGGATTCCCCAGGATGTGCAGGCACAAGCAGCACCCCGGGGAGGCTGCAGGTGCCCCAGGCTGCTGCTGCTGCTGGTGGTTTTGGCAGGGGAGGGTGTGCAAAGAGGGGTTAAGAAGGGCTGGGTGCAGGCAGAGGTGCTGTAGGTGCAGAGAGCCCCAGGGGACGGTGGTGGCACCTGAGGGACACGGCACAATTCACCTGCCCAGGGATGGGATGGAGTTCCCTCCTCTCGTAAAAAAGGGACCAGCTGGGGACACAAATCCTCCTGACCTGACCTGGGCTCATCCCTCCCCACTGGCAGGAGGAATAAACCCCCAGCCAGGACTTTTGGATGGAGGAGCAGCCCCAGCAGCTCCAGATCCCCAGCTGACATAGGTGACACTTCCTGGGCCTAAAGCAGGCAGCAAGACATGAACTGCTCGAGTCCTTTAATCTCATTTATTGACAGAGATCTTCCAATACTTACAAATCCAACATTCACTCTTCACAATTGCACTTGGTCATTTGTATGCAGATTACAAAGAAGAATGATGTACAGTTGATTACAAAGACAGTAAATAAACTCTCCATAATGGTAAATTTTGGTGACCACACCTGTAAACAATATTTCAGCATTCACAATTCCTTTCATTTGGTAGTGAGGGGGGTAATTCCAATCTGATCCCCAAATCACATGTTAAATCATTTGAAAAGAAATCACTTTGGGCTATGCAGTAGGATTAAATGTGCTAGGATTAAAAGAGCAAAACCAAACACAACCCAGAGCTGCGAGGTTTTAGGTTTTATTTTGTCCATTTAGTCAGTCACACGGCTTATGTGAGAGAGAAATAAAAATAGCCAGCAATGTGCGAGTGCTTGTTCTGCAAGGCTGAAAAAACAGGATCTGCAGTGCCCCTGTGGCAGCTGAGCGGGACAGTGCTCTGCTGGGAAGGGAGAACTTGGGGGTCTGTCTGGAACAGGGCTGATGTGTGCATGGAAATGGTTATTTGTGGGTTTCCTTCTTATCAGAGGCGTGTTCCTGCTAGCAGGGGAGAATGGAGAAACCAAAGGTCTGTTGTAGACATATTTTGGATGGTTCCTGTTCCCAGCGTGAATCTTGAGAAGCTCCCAGATGAGTGATTTACCTCTGCAGCAGACAAAACCCCAAACCTCAGCATTTTGCTTTACCAGCAGCTGAAAGTCTGAATGCCTCAGGTTTAGGCAATCAAAATTCCACCACAGTGGTGTTTCCCTTCTAAACAAGAAATCTTCTAGTGTTAACTCCATTTTATGACACCTCTTCAGCTTGCCCAGTGATCTTTAGCCAGCTGAGTTACAGCCAGGCAAGGACAGCAATGCCTCAGTGGCCTTTCCATCAGCCAGAGAAATCCAGGGCATTTTGCCACATGGTCCCTCCCTCGCCTCTCTCCACACTCACACACATCCTCAGCACAGCCACGAGTGGGTCAGGGCAGGCAGGATGAAAACAAAGTGCCCAAAAGCTGTGGGGCTGTGTCCTGCTCCCCACAGAGGATTTGGCTCCGTGTCCATCTGCACCTACCTGGGATGAGAGCGAGAGCTGTCCCCAGCCCTGCCACGGGCAGGGCAAGAGCCCCAGATCCTGCAGGACAAGGTCAGGGGCTGCACTCCGTGGTCCTGGGGGTCTCTCCCAGCCCTGAGCACGGGGTGGTTTTCAGTGCTGTCAGTTCTCAGAGGTAACTCACACATCCCCCTGGGATCAAAGCTCGCTCTCAGGAGGACATTCCCTGCTCATCCTCTCAGCAGGGGCTGCATTTCCCACCTCAGGACCCTTCAGAGCCCCCTGAACCCAACCCCAACCAGGCTCAGGGTTCCCTCAGTGGTGCTGAAGAACCCAAAACACGGGGGACCCCAAGCACAGGAATTTCTCCAGCTTCCTCTCTGGCAGCAGGAAAGTCTTTGGCATCTCCGTGGCTTCACTCAGGGAGAGCTGCCCTGAGTTCTGAGCAGCATTCCAGAAGTTCTGAGCAGAATTCCAGAAGTTCTGAGCAGAATTCCAGGTGGCTCCCAAACCACTCCAGTCCCACACAGCAGTGCCAGGGTTTTTTTCCTGGCAGTCACTGCTTCAAGGCCACTTTCTCAGGAGGGAAAAGCAGAGCACTGCCCCATCTCCCTCATCACAATTCCCAGGAAAGCTCAGGCACTGGACACCAGTGCAACAGCAGCAATTAAATGAGCAGAAGCAGTTAATGAACTTGATTACATGTGGTAAAGAATGAGAGTGCAAAATCATTTAAGCCACTCTATGTGCAAGCAGATGACCATGTCAAACCATGTTTATCTGTTTTTTCACATGAATTTGCCTCTGTCAATGGTGACTCTGTTAAGGAAGACTTGATTAGTATGAAATAATATGAAATAATAATATGAAATAATAATATTAAATAATAATAGTAAATAATAATATTAAATAAAAGATGAAATAATAATATGAAATAAACCCCAGACCGATATTCTTTATTTTATATTCCTTTTATTTACAAAACAGTTTTATTATAAATACTGTAAATTTTGTACTTTTGTCTGCACGCTAGGAAAATAACCTCGTTAAAAAGAAGTCATTTAAGAAATACAAATAAATCTTGTAAGATTGTGCAAAGAGGAAATTCTTTTCCTTGCGCAAAGAAACGTTTAGTGACGTTTTAAAGTCTCGCTTTAAGAGCTGCAAAAATACTTTGTTCATGCAAAAATAAACAAAAAAAAGTGGTCATTAAACCAACACAGAGGTGGGTTTGACGAATGTTTGTTTTTTCTGCCTCCTTGCCAGCTCAGGTGAAGTCGTTTTATTGCACTCAGAGCTGAATCCCTGCCGGGCTCCCCTTCTCTCCTCAGCTCCCGGATTTTTCCTGCACCGGGAATCCAGCGGGAATCAGGGGGAGCCCCTGGGCTGGGGGATGGATTGAGGAGCCCCCTGCCCCTGCCCAGGGACCCCGGGTGTTTGGGGGGCAGCTCCTACCGTGGGTGCCAGGCGCTGGGGCTGGCACAGGTGAGCGTGGCTGGGCACCGAGCACACGGGGCACAGGTGGCAGCCGGGGCTGTGCAGAGGGACCAGGTGGGCCGGGGTGCCCTCCCCGGCCAGGGGACACACGGGGCTGCTGGCCGTGTCCCCCTGGACAAGGGACAGGAGCTGCCTGTCCGTGCAGGGCGGGCAGACGGGGCCCTGGGGGCTGTGGGGACAGAGGTGAGGCTGAGTCCCTGTGACAGGACCTGTCACCCTCCAAACCACCCTGCACAGGCTCCAGCACCCACAGAAGCTGCTTTCCGTCACCATTTCCCTTTGTGAGCTCCAACAGGATGCAGAGCTGGACCAGCTCCCCCACGACTGGGGCTCACAGCCAGCGGGACAGGCACTCACAGGAATAAATGGAAAAACCCCGAAGCAAATGCAGCAACAAGGAGTTCACACTTCCCAAAGCCAAAGCAAGCAGATGCACATGTCAAACCATGTTTATCTGGTTTTTCATACGAATTTGCCTCTGTCAATGGTGACTCTGTTAAGGAGTCAAGCTGAGAATGCACCAGATTCGCAGAAGATAAATAAATAAACTGAGCAAACAGCTTTACCTTACCACTGCTCTGGCCCCAAACCTTACCTTGCCACAAGCAAATGAACCACACCCACAGGTGGGAAAAGCACTGGGCAGTGGGTGCGAAGAGGTTCTGTAGGGTCTCACCTGGGCTCTTTGCTGCTCAGCCAAAACCAGAGCTCCAAAGAGCACGAGGTGAGCACAGCTGAGGAGCACAGGCTGCTCCAGAGACACCCAGGGAAACCTCACAAGCATCATCTGAATAAAGCCCACCCAGTTCCACATCTCTGCTTCAGCAGGCACCACACTTCCACCCTGGCACAGGGGGAGTAGCCAACATCCACACGCTGCACCTACTTTTATTCTAAGCTGGGCAGCGACCTCTCAGCTTGGAGGGCACTGGGCACACGCTGCAGTGCTGACAGGAGCTGGACAGGAGCTGCCTGCACTCACCCCTCATCCTGCCACTCCCCCGGTGTCACAGCACTGCTGCCACCCTGGCCAGTGTGGGCACGGAGCCAGCTCTCACAGATGGGGCAGACGTGGTCACTGTGGAGAAGAACGTTGAGGATGTGCACTGAGAGTGTGGCTGTGCCTTCCAGGCCGTGGTTCTGGGGCTGGGAACAAGCTGGGACAGTGGGAGGTGTCCCTGCCCATGGCAGGGGGTGGGATGGGGTGAGCTTTAAGGTCCCTTCCAACCCAAACCATTCTGGGGTTCTCTGATAAGCACAGTTCTACTCCATTCTGAAATTTGCTGATTTTGTCCATGCCCGCTGTGGCACCTGGGTATTTTTAGGTGGAAGGCTGACCTTTTGTGGTCCATGGGCTGCTCTGCCTCACTCCACCACGGAGCAACTTCTGCTGTGCCATCTGCCCTCAGCACATCCACAGCTTTGGCAGGAGAGCTGAACACAGAGAGTGAGAGAGAGGGAGAACACAGCCTGGGTGTGTGGCCTTCCAAAAACACCGACTGCCCAACAGTTCCCTAACATCAAATCCTTGCTCCTGCTAAAACAGGAACCACACAAATTCCAGCTGCAAAACTCACTTTATCCACATAAAAATGCTTCCTCCCCCTTTGCCCTTGTTTTCCTCCCCTCAGCAGGGCAGCAGGACCGTACCTGGTGCCCGCCGCGCTCTGGCTGTCCCCGTCACCGACGCTGGGCACCGAGTAGGTGCGGGGTTTTTGGGGCTGGGAGCTCAGCCAGTGCTGGCAGGTGGCACAGCCGTGGTGGCGTGGGGGCTCTGAGAGAGGGGCCAGGTCACCGTGGAGCTGCTCCTCACAGCTGGGACACGCGTGGCAGTTCCCTGTGTGGCTGTGGGTGAGAGAGA